AGGACGCGCGGAAATAAGATAGAAAATTATCGAGAAATCATTGTTGAAATTATCGGAATTGGATCTAGCGAGTATCTCGATTTAATCCTTAATTTGTTGATTCATTAATAAGTATTCGAGACGCACGACTGTAACGATTCCATTTTGGCGACTTATTTTAATTTCACGGAATTTCGATTGGCTTCCCGTTTGACGACTTCGCGATCAACAGGTCGAGTTCTACTCCAGGCGGTCGTCAGGATCGATTCCGCAGTTTTAGAAATCGGCGTCGCATTCTGCGGTGATTTTCCGCGACAGGTTGTATAAGCGTCCACGATAGCGATCTCATGAGTGGAATGTAAAGACGATCGGGCGAAAGGGCGCGCACGCACAGGAACTGGCGCTGGCCGAGAAACTAGTCCCGGTGGAAATTTATTCCGGCGAAGCGAGAACAACAAATTACCGGCCGGTAGTCGATCTCTCCTAATACGACGCGACGGGAATGCCAGAACTTGAAACTCGGCGCGGTGTCGACACCGCGGAAGATTGACGACATATTGACAATCCGCTGGAAAGCAAGTCGATCGTTCTGTCGATGGTCTCGTAATTAATTGATTTATGGGGAAAGAACGGCGACGAGTGAGTCAAATAATGCAATCAAAAATAATCAAAATATATTTAAAATAAGACATAATATCTGAGAAGATTATAAAGAAAATTCTACAAAAAAGTAGAAAAATTATTTTAACGCAGAAACTATCTTGTTGATCGATAGAAAAATATTAATGCGTCTTATCAAGTTAAATACATTTCTAATTGCACTTTTTAGGCGACATAAAAATAACTGAAATATTCTCCTCCTTATTATTATCGCCATTATGCTTTCTCTCCAAAAGAACAATGCGACAGCGCGCGTTGATCGCAGATTGCAAAATACTCGTACCCTTCATTTTTTAATCGCGAAGATAAATACAGCGTCAGCGAGGAAGAGGGACATGTGAGGGAAGAAGGGAGTGTGGGAGGGGAGGAGGCAAGAGGAAAGAGAAATATAATAAAAGAAGCCGTGGCAAGAGCCTGCTTTAGCTAGGGCCAGATCCCGCCGGGACGATAACACGAGGACACATCGCCACCTCGGCGCGACGATCGTAAAACTTGGTCAGGTAAAGGCGCGGTCCGTTTGAGACCTGCTGCTAGGAGGACGGACAGGAGCTGGTTATAGGATAGGTATTATAGTCCTGCTCCGCGCTGTCGGTCTATCTCGCGAAGGGATGCGCGTCCCGTACGCGTATCCTTCGGGGTGGTCCTGGCGACGACATCGGTTCATTAATCGGCCAGATATCCGAGAAAAATGCGCTTTTACGACTACTCTTTCTTCCTCACTCTATCTCACCCTTTTCTCTCTCCCTCCCTGCCGCTCCCTTGCGATCGTCGCCGCTTGTATCTCTACCAGTTTCGTGAAGGAGACGCCCGGTGGCTTATTAGGCTCGTTACCGGAGAGATTTCAGGAAGGGCAGCCGGGTAATTATAAGTAGGACTCTCGATCAACGCGATACCCGACAACGTTATTTCAATTTCACTCGGCCGAGCGTCAATATGATTTCAATTATAACGAATGCCCTAGATTTCTCCGAGAATTTTTAATTCGTCAATTCGTTCAATGTTTTTATTCATTTGAAATTTTGCAAAGCTGATAAATGATAAAATAAGGAAAAGATCGATAAAGTAAATTTCGCATACTCAAGTAGGCTTTTCTAGGCACGTGTGTTGTGTCTATTAAGTAGAAAAATGTGGTCACATTTACTAACCCTATTTTCATTAACCGACTATCGAGTGCGTGACATAACTTGGAGCGATGGTGCAAGGCTGCGCGTACAGGCTCCGCGTGTGTGCCTGCGCGTAAAAGAAACGGCGGTCGAGTAACGAGAGTGCTAATGAAGGATAGCCAGGTTCTTGCGGATTTCTCCTGCAACCAGCACCTGTCTTTCCCTAGGCGCACGCGTTTCTGCGACGAAACGATCGTTGCACGCTCCGGTCGCTGGATTTCTTTTCATCGTCTAATTTCTTGCGAGCCTTCGCATTATGAGAGAGATAGCATCAGTCGCGAATATCAGTTAGCGGAGCCCGCGGTTTAATTTCAATAAAACTACAAGAAATTAAACCACACGCGTACACGGTGGTTAATTGATGATAAATCTAAAGAGCTGTTGATATCGCGATATTAAATAAATCCTGATATTTTTCCAAGTCTGCGGCTCTCGAAGGAATTGCGCAGCTTCTGCGACACCCCGTACATCATTCTTCGCCGCAAGCTGAATACTCGCTCGCTTACTCGGCCAAGCGAGCGGGAGCGATAAAGCACCGGCGGTTTCGGTGCGTCTCGTGAGAAAACGACGCGCATTTTTAACGCGCGTCACGTCGGTACGCGCCTTCGTACGCACGTACACACGCGCGCACGACGACGTAGCCGGCCGGCACACTGCGAAAAACACTAGCGCGGCTATTAATTCAGAGGCCGGGGGGGGGGGCGGGACAGAGAGCGGAGGCCGGCCGAAAGGAAGGCAAAATAGAGCGGCGGCTTCTCCCGGCCTCTTCGGGGCCCGTAACTAAAAGGAAGGAAAGAAGAGAGAGAGAGAGAAGGGATTTAAATAAAAGTAAACTCGTGTCGCCGCGCTCGCGTGAACTACCCGGGCCCCGAGGATATGAACCGCGGGCCCTCTTCCTCCCTCGAAGGAGCATCTTTGCGGAGAACCTGTCCTGCCCGACTGTCGGAATCGGCTTTCCCTCCTTCGCTCGCTCGTATCGCGTGCGCTTAACGCTTTTGCCGGATGTTATCTCGCGATCGCGATCACGGGGAGAGAGGAGAAAAGCAGAGAGAGAAAGAGAATGTCGGGACGTCCGGTGTGTGTTTCAGTGTCGTCGGAAGATTGATAGATAAATGGATGAACGATCCACAGTTATATGTCTTGGAAGAAGTGAAAGAGAGAACGTATTTGTTTGATTAATACTGATTGTGAGATGTAGAATTTTTAATTATATTTTAAAAATTATACTTCACTGTGCATGCAAAGATGTGTAAAATAGAAAAATGAAGAAGTTTCAGTGTCTGAAGATTCTTAAATGTTAATATTTCAAATATTCGATGATTATATCGAATTTGATAAATGCGTGATTTAAAGATCTCAGAAAATAAATTTCTCGGTTTTGCAAGATTCTAGATAGCTAGATAGCTTTGATTCTTGGTGACATTTTGAAAGGCGCCTCTTCTTTTTCTTCCGACCGACAGATTTTAATGGGTTTCATTTGCATATTGAGATTAAATGAGATACCGGGATGTAACTATCCGATCATCCTTGAGAATTGGAAGTTTTCGATAATTCTTTTATCTATACGGTGGGTATGCCAGTAGCTGCCACAATAAAACGTCGCGAGATTTTAAATCGCGATCCTTAAATCGTGACGATTGTAGATCTTTGGACTTTTTATTTCTTTTTTATGATCTAAATTTTATACATTGCGATACTTTATTCTATCATAAATTCTTCTAGAAATATTTTCTCAACATTTTCATCCTTTGATATTATTTTCGAAATACACCTGTTTCCAGATAATATTTAAAGGATATTGTCATTTTCAGGATTCTTTCACGAAACGTCTTCGTTTACCGGGAATACGCTCTCCGGAATATTCTTGCGTCACTAGTTATAAGTGGTTTAATATTACCTAAGCGAGGTTGGTGCTGGAAAAAAGGAACATTACTTTCCCGCCGAGCCGGGAAAGATGGCAAAACGGCGCTCGACACCCCACGGCGCACGGATGGGTGCTCGCCGGGGGCAGAAATACGCCTGACCTCTCGGCAGACAAATTAAAATGATACACAGGCGATTTCACATGCTGCTCGCGAAAACCTCTTCTCTTTCCTGCCGTCCTCAAACTATTTCAGGATACGCGAAGCTGAAATATCGTTCCGGCGGCGGTGGTGTTCTTCGAGTTCTAGGAAAGGCTACCGAGCGATGTTCGCGAATGCGAAGGACCATGGATTTGTGAATCGTGTGATCCGAGGGTCTACTTGCTATTCGACAACTCGGGGAATTCACTATAGAAGATCTGAGAATCTAAACTCAGCGAAAACATCAAGACCGAAAAAAATTCAAGATTGAGGACCAAAAAACAAAAATTTATATTCATTTCAATTCAATAATATTAAACTGTTATATTGTAATAGTTGAAGTGCTTAAATGTCAATACGCAATAATTTTCAGGAAAGTTTGAATTGTATAAAAAAGGCACGAGACTGACTGAAGCAATATTCAATCCTGCCAAATATTCCTTCTTTAACAATGTATTTTAAATTCCGTCATGGTTCCATCATTGCGGCAATAAACTAAATGACTATATATTTTACGCCATAAAGTCATCTTCTTTACTTAATTTATGTGGCAATAAATAGCATTCGTTCGCCATAAAGTCGCAGATAGATAGTCTATGTAGAATGTAAGTGAAACTTGTTATAAACGGTCGCAATCTTTTTATCGAACGCTCCGAACTTAATGACCGACGAACAACGCGGGTCTGTTTTTAATTGCTTCGGACGATTTAAGTACCGGAGACAAGCAATCTGAAAACGGGGTTATAAAAATGTACTCATGGTCCACCTCAGAAATGTGGGCGTCTTGGCGTATTCTATTAGCGCTTTCGCACATTTTCTAGACATCTATTAATGGTAGCTCCGTATCATTAAATTAGTTGATCAATTGACGAGCAATCCATCCATTTGATTTATTTTACTCAATGCAGTTAAGCATTTCATTTTCCTATATAAATTATTATTCCCTATATAAATTAAATGCAGATAAACGTGAACTAACTTTACATAGTTCATAATTATCATTCCTATTTTCACCAATTGCAGAGTTTATTGACCTTTCAGCAATTTAAAATTTCTCTTAGCTCTAAAATTCTATAAGAATTTCGACAACCTTCACCTCAATAAAAATTATGATAAAAAAATAAAAATTACTCACCCTGTCATACTGATGCGTCGCCGTAGCCGCCGGGAAGGGCTGAAAGGGCGCCGGCCTGGCTGGACTGTGGTGGGCCGCGTGTGGATTAGCGTGAGGGTGGCTGTGCGGGGCCGCATGGGGATGCGTCGGATGCGGCGGCGGTGGCCGGTGGGTTTGGTAAAGGTAAGGATAATATTGATACATCACATCGGAGCAGCTCATTACCCCGCCCGGGCCCGGCACCCCAGAGCTGGCCTGCAGACTTGCGTACCCGAACGTCGCACCACCCTTCCGAACAACACCACCCTTTAACTGGCCCTCCACTTCCGTCAATGATGCACCACGATCGGCTCAAACGTTCAGGATCATCCAAAATCACTGAATTCGGCAGTGGAAATAACGGTCCATTTTATAGCGCAGTGAGGTAGTTCGATGTACGCGTAGTCGATAGTTCTGACGCTTCTTGGAAATACTTTCACCTTCTCTTCGATAACTCAAGATTAATTTAAATAATTAAATTCTTTATGATATCTAAAATGTTAACGCGTTGCGATCAATGGTATTATGTCGTTTATAAAAAATTAGATGACATATTATAATCAACAGTCTTTGATCCAAAATTTACGCGACTCAAATCAACATTACATAAATTAACACAAGAGTAATTTATGTACGAAGCAGTATCATTAGTTTCGATATTGCGCCTAAGATATTTTGCTCAAATCAGTTGCGATTTACGTTGTTTAATTGTATTATTATTAAGAAATGTTTAATGCCTCAGTGTTGCATAAACATAAATGCTTTATGCGTCTTTCGCGAAGGAAGAGATAATTGCAAAGGATTAAACATTCCAGTTGATCGCAGCAGGATCTTTTTGTCAATTATGTTTAAACACAATTTTAGTCACATCCACTAAATTACGGTAAAATGTACCTGTATCAAATAATAATAAACAGTCCTATTCGTTTCTCCTTATTTCTTAAGAATCACTGAACGATAAATCACAAATGTACACACAGATAATTTTTCGATATATTGAGGCGACGTAGGAAATTCCACAATCGATTGCTCTTCTTCCTTTTTCCTTGGCGAGTACGTCGTGCGAATACAAAAGGACTCGGATAGTTGTCATCAGCTGAGTATGTTGAATTGCGACATATTTTCAGCTCACGAAGGACAAAGTGAAAGCTTCTAGTAGCGGCTGATAAAATTCTTACAACATTTTCCTATCTATAATTTCATTTTTGAAACTTCTGTTTTCTTTTTTCAGGATTCTTCATTAATAATAAATCCTTGTAAAATTCTCTCTATTAAAATGACTGTTCCTGAAACTTTTCCTCTTAGAAATCGTCAAAAATTTTCCAACACTTCAATTATCACCGATTTTGACATTTCGCTACTTTGTCCTGTAGAATCACTTGTGAAGATTTATCTTGCACAACGTGCTCCGTAATTTCGGACTCAACAAATTTCAATTGTTCACAATTATTGTTTGTCAACACAGTCTACTGTCTTGGTCAAATCGATCGTACGTCTGATTTTTCTTGCTCATCAATTTCATCGATACTTTACTTCAAGATTTTAATGACAAAAACTGTCACCGTCCTCGATACTTCATCTCTCACGTAGGACCACCTGCGGTCCTGGACGACACGCGCGATTTGCCTCACTATTTTGCTCCAACCAAGTAGCAGCGATCCCGTCAATCCGGTCTATTTTCGGCAAGCGGTAAAATTCGCAATTCGTCCGGGGATTCAACGCGAAATACAGGTGGTTCCCGCGAAGAACGAGGAACGAGGCCAGTCGACGAGCGAAAAGCGAGCTCTCACCCTCGCAAGGTGAGCGGAGCGTGTCGCCGCTAGTGGTGTGTCTCTCATGGGTGAACACAGACTGAAACCCTCCGGGCGCGACACCGTGTGTCACCCTCTCTCCCTAGAATCTCTCGCTGTCTTTTTCTAAAGCCGTCCCAGTCCCGCCGTCGCGAGCCGTTTTCGAGCGAGCGGCGTCAGCCGCTCGTATCCTCTTTCCCTTTACCGCCACCCCGCCAGACTCGTAGCGGCAGGATCCGCCTCCTGGCAGTGCCGGCGTCGGCCAATCGCCGCACCCGATCGTCAGGGCCAATCGCACTTGGTCTGCCACTACCACGAGACTCTCCCCGTATTGATCTCACAATGAACCCGACTGCAGCTGCGGTATTAAGAAGTTCGTACTCGGGTTAAACCACCCCCGCCTACCACCTCTGCTTCCTGCCCCTCTGCCCCCCCTCCGCCCCACCCCTCGTCCACCCGCCCGCCTCTACGGCTTCTTCGTGGTCTTCATCCTCCGCTTCGGCCACCTTCCTTCTATCCCGGGCAACCATCCCCCGCAGCGCGCATAATGAGTCTTAATTAACAGTTTCGCGGTGTTTTGGGAAGCTTAATTTGCCGCGGCGGAAGGGAGAAAGAGCGGGAGCGAGAAAGAGGAGAAGATGGCGTCTTTAGAGCGGAATTCCTACGGAAATGTTGCTGTAGAAAACGCATTTTTACGCGGCGCCGACCGACTTACAGCCTAGATACATCCGACACGATCTCTTCAAGGCAAACGTGAAAATACGAATTAACTCATACTCTATTTACCTGCGGATTCTACCTATCTAGTTTGCTTCTTATTTAATATATTCTATTTCTTAAACATTTTTCATCTAAAAAATTAAAATAGTAATATAGTAATATAAATAGTTTTTTAGATAAATTTAATTAGATTGATTGTTAGAAGTGTCACTGTTAGATCTAAGTAATAAAAAGCAAAAAGTATAATAAAAAAGAAGAAGAATATTAAATAATACATATAAAAAAATAATTATAAATATCAAAATGTAATACAAATACTTAAACTTATAAGCTTTCTGTTAAAATCATAATTTGTGCGGCCTGAAAAATTATAATATTATATAAGAAAATACAAAAATAAATAAGAATATATGCAATGACGCAAGACAAAGCCAAAACAGAAGCAAAGAGCCTCATTCTGATTATTCTAAAAGCTTGAAAGAACAGCAAACAAATGAATTTTTTTGCTAACAATAAATGTCAGTGAGTCTTTGTGTAAAACACAAGAATGCTGAGCAATTAAGATTTCTATACTTCATTGACGCTACTGTCTTCCGGGACATTACCGCATCTTTATCTTTACAAGTGTGGCTGTAAAACCCGACATACATATATCGCGGTCGATGCCTTTGCGATGCAGAATGAGGTATTCCCGACAGCAGATCGGTCTCCGTGAACTCTTGCGTAATTACGCATCTCGTATCGCTCATATTATTTTTCTCATCGTTATCTCCGCGCTGTGACGATATATGCTTAACTTTATGCAAACTTGCATTCGAGATTACAAATTTATGTTGATGATTAATAAATTTTAAACTGCGAAATTTCAAACTTTTATAATTTTTTTATACTAAGTTATTATGCTAATATAATTCACAATTCGAAAGAAACCTTGAAAATAAATTTCTTTTCAATTTGAGGATTTTAATAAGTTGACAGTATGCGTTGCGAAAAGTACAATAAACTCACAATCGATTAGGATACATATAAAAGATTCAAACATATTTATATTTAAATTATTCAAACAATTCAAAATAAAAAAAAAAACTGATCAATCTTTAATAATATCAATTCGTAATGCTTAAAGATTTAAATAGTTCGGACACATTAAAGAAAATTAGAGCAAAATTAGTATGTATTACAGATAAAATAACTTTTTATTTTTGCCTAATTTCACGCAAAAATTAATATAATCTTTAAAAAAAATATTTCTTTACAAATTTCCGAATCTGTGAAGTTAATTTGAACAATTTGAATTACCTGAATCTTTCGAAAGATCTAAATTATTTGATATTTTTTTAAATTTTAATATTCGAACTGTCCAAAACTATATATAATTTGTATATAAATATACATATAAATACTCAATTTATTATTAAAATACTACTCAATGATAAATTAAGATTTACTGCTTAAATAAAGTAAAAGGAATTATCGAATTTTTATAATATTGTACGTCATGACTTCATTTTATATTTAATTTATCTTTAACATTCATAAACAGCTAACGTAAATTAAGTGAAAATTAACTACATATATATTAAAAACACAAGTGTTATTTATGTATCGCTGTGATAGCCAAGTGTTGAAAAAAATATGTATGTTCCGATAATGAAAGCGCATTGCCTGTTTATTCCAGGGTTCCCCGATGCTTGAATGAGCTCAACTCACAAGCGCGTTGAATTCATTGCTGGGGACTTACCCTGAGAGATAGAGATGGCGCAAGGAAATTCCTGGCAAAAAATCGAGTGTATCCCCGGGTCTGAAATTCGTATATAAGCGACCGAGATACGACAGACAAGCATCACAAGTCGTTTCGCACTTCAAGCGAAAATATTCACTACGTTCGAGAGAAATAGTTGACATCACAATGAAGCTGTTAGCTATTGTGTTGGCTTTGTGCGCTATCGTATATGCGAGCGCTGAGAAACCATCAACGACTGGTCAGGGTCTTCCATCAATACGTGTAAGTAATTATTTTTACTTAAAAGTATGATTTATTATTAAAATAAATCAAAAGAAAAAGCTATAAATTGTAAATGTAAGACTAAAGTAATTGAAAACAACCTTTATCTTGACATTCTTGGTCATAGAATTTTACGTATAAATATTTTAATGCATATCTAAAATAAATTTAAATAATAATGTAGATATAGAATGATGAATAATGACAAAGAAAAATAGTTATATGTAGAAATTGCATGTAAATGCTTCTCTAGTCATTAAATATCACTTTGACTAATAACACGACAAAATAATGACATGACTATGCATTCATTATATGTGGTAGTACACTGTTAGACTGTGTCATAATTATCTTGCATGAGTCATAAGACACTTGTCGCACCTGTAAATTGTCATTAAATTCGAATTTCTTGGTTCGCAAGATATTTTCCGGAAATACTGTCGAATAATTTTCCGTCATTACTTTCGAACGTGTCAATAATTAAATATTTATGTATAAAATATATTTATATATGAAAGCATTCTATTTTCAAAGAAATCGATCTATAGAATCTTATAGAATCCGCGGTTACGTTATCATCGTCAAATTAATTTCCAGTTCGAAGAACCCAAAAGAGGCTCGATAACTTTCCAAGGGACACAACCTCTGAGTGGACCGCAACGTCAACCGTCCTGGGATCTCAACGGCAATGCTAACGTTTTCAACAATGGCCGCACATCAGCGAACGTCTTCGGAGGTTTGAATAAAACACCTGGACAACGAGTGCAACCGCACGTCGGCCTTCAGGCGGAGAGGAATTTCGGCAACAACGGTTTCATCAGAGGTCAAACCCAGTTTCAACAAGGTCCGAGAGGTCACGGCCTTTCTCCCTCTGTTGGTATAACTGGTGGCTTCAGATTTAGAAGAGAAGCTGAACCCCAAAGAAATTCACTTTCCTTCCAAGGATCGCAACCTCTGAGCGGACCAATGCGCCAGCCTACGTGGGATCTCAACGCCAATCGCAATATCTTGCGCATAACTACGTATAGCATACATTATACGAAGTTATACGATTAAACATTCCAGTTGATCGCAGCAGGATCTTTTT